AAATAATTCGAAGTGGTCTGTATTCTGTCGAAACTGCCAGACGCGGATCGCGATTTCGCTTATATCTTAGTAAATGTATAACATTAGAATATCTGCAACCAACTGTACACCCGAATGTGGATATTTAGACCCGTATAATTTTTCCAATTGTTTTCTCCCACCTCTAATATATCAAAATTGCTGATTAAACGATAGTATTCTGGATGGTTATCGAAATTATGCCTACGACATAATTCGATATTTTAATTTTGCCTTGTAACGGTCCAGAATATAATATGAGAGGTGATTGCAGTAACCGTTATGTTTGCAAGGCAAAAACGGCTTTTTGTAGTTCGTAAATGTCTTTTAAATCGCTTGGTAAAGTCGGATAAAATTTTGCTTTTAAACATTTATATTGATTGCCTTTACCGCATTTCACGCATCTTTTGAGGTTTTTCTTTAACAAGAAAGTGTAACTTTCGACCGTTTTGTCTAGGTGATGGACAAACATACAAGCCGTCATGCAACTAAAAATTGTTATATACGACGATTTCAATTTAGAGCAATATTTAACTTTCAATCAATTTACATTATCATACCTCACCACACAAATAATTTCGTTACACATACTTATGTATGATGAAATTTTATGAAAGTATAAGTATATCTATGTGTAGATAATATTTAGGGCTCTATTTTTTTTCAATCTTTGGGCCAAAAACTTCCCTGTCTTTTAAAATATTATAGAATTAAATTGTAAAACTTACCATTTCCTTTCCTGAGGGAATCTATGAATTTGTTAATTAAATATTTGTTGTTATCTGTGGCGGGTGACATAATATGTTGAAAATCACTGAAGGGTGGTATTTGATTTGGCATTAAGCACTGATCTGTAAGGTATGGGGCCCCCCAGTCATCAGAAATACTAATTACGCCTATTTTGTGATTACTGTCCAAAACTGAGACCATTTGTTTGGCTAAAAAAATTTTTTTAATAAAATTGTTACAAATGTGCTGATTATATTCATACCCATTGCTTTAATAATATCTAAATGGTGATTGTTAAGAGTAGCTCCATGATCAACTAATAGCATTACATTTTTGGGTTTTGTTTTTACCCTCTCCATATATAGCTTCCATAAAGTAGACTGATCATGTTTCTTACAATTGAATATTGTTGCTTTAGTATGCTTTCCAATTTCATGAGTGGACAGAAAATAAATTTGTTTCAGGCTTTCTTTATGTTTTCTAACATTCTCTCTTTGCTCATGAAGAACTGAAAATAGGAAATCATAACATATAGATACTTTGCTATTTTGAATATTTGATTAATAGATACATGCAGGTATAATACATACATTTTTGTAATGAAGTTTCTGGATTGTCTTCTTTATTGTTACATGGTACAACATAAGATTCTAAAAAACTACTGTAATTTTTGTCATAGCTCTCAATAAAAGCTTTGGTTTCATTTAATATGTGAAAAGACTCATTGAGCTTTTCATTGATTTTGTTTGCTGTAATTTGCACTATGTTCTCAATATCCTGATAGACATTAACATACTTAAATTCCTTGTATAGCACCTGTACAACGATCGAAAATCGTGAAAATATTCTATTAATTGGCGAAAAATATTTTATTACCTGAATATTGGACACAAAAAGCTCCTCGCTTGTTATTCTTTGAAGTTCATTCCCAAGTTCACTGGCAATATTTTTCAAGTAAAACCCCTTTATGTTGGCCACATTATCCTTATTGTTCGTTGTCTGATTATATACATTTTCACAGGAACACAAGGTATAGAAAAATATACAAAACACCAGAGTTTTTTGTTTGCACTTCATTTTAGGCAGGTTAGGTGTACTATCTTAATTAAACAGACCAAATTCACACTAATTCCATTTTTTAAAATTCTCAGCGGCATTTTATTAACTCAACTGTCTATTTCATGGTTTGAAATTCCTCCGATTTTCTCGCATTTTTAGATAGATAATTTACCTAGCACCTCTTTTGGACCACAATAAACAAACACAGAAGCTCAACACAACTTAAAGCTGAATTAGTTACCATCAGGCCATCAGGGTCTTAATATCGGCTATTTTCGTGCTTTGTCGTGTTCTGTCTACCCTCTTTCATTTCGTGAAATTTTTCCAGGGTTGGGCTCCGGGCAAAACTTGATCAGCAGAACCGGGATCGAGATGTATTAACATAGAAATCGATACCCGATCAATTAAAGCAGACGATCGGCGGTTTCCGTCAATTTTTAACCGATCCACAGTTGTACCGTCGTCTATCTAGTAAGGGAATTATAAAAGAATTGGAAAATAAATTATACAAAAAAAATATATTTACTGATTGTACCTATAGAAACATGTTTTAATCCCTTTTCTATTTTGCGAAGAAAAATCGGAAATAAAACATTTTTTTTATAATGTTTAGTACGAAATTCTAAAGCTGTAGCATGAATAAATCAATATCTAGGTAATTTTTGCGAAGAAAAACGCTTTAGACGCCGCTTCTGATTGTAAATGAATTTAGCGAAAGATAAGACAAGAAAATAGGAGGAAATACTTGATGTTTTTCGTAAATGTTACCTTTTGAATTCTGTATTCGTGTTCAATGTTTTAAGGCCTTTATTCATTTTCAGTTGTCCAATATATTTCTACGACACTGTACGTAAGAAAAGTAGGATATAATACATAAATTATTTTTAAATTGGCATTCCTTATCTTATACGTATACCATGTTGATATTTAAGTATCATAATGGTGCTATTGAAATATGGATACCATGTTTACCTCTAATGAGCTTTTGATATGAACGTGATAAGCGATTTGTACACACGCATTATAAACTAAATGCATAGGCTGATTGTGAATGTCAATAACAATCGTTAATGCTTTTAATTTAATAGTTGAACTTTAAAAATTATGTTAACAGTTTGTTTGTTGTTAACAATCATGTAGTTTGGGTAGTCTACATGTTATTGTTAGCTGTGGGATATAAAAATGAGAAATTCCTCGTGTATTATAT